TTCATAAGCAAGTTTGAAAGTTTTTACCTTACTAGGCAATGGTATTCACAAAATTAAGTTATACTTGTTATATTAAAACTTAAGGTGCAGTATTGAAACTAATTTTATGAGGAAGGACATATTGGAAATTTCAAAGTAAATTTGCTATCAGTTTAATACTTGGGTTGTTCATATTGCATGGAAAGATTCCCATCAGAGTCTGTAGAGCCTTGTTGCAAATGAATAGGTTATTTTAAAGAAAATTAATAAACACAGTTGTCTGAAAAAGTATTTGTCCCTATCAGATTTTTAATCCTTGATACTGAACGTTAGCAGCAGTGGTGGGATTCAGGTTTTTTTACTACCTGTTCTGTGAGAGTGGCTTAGTTGGCATGGCAGGGGAAGGATACTGTAAAATCTCCAGTCAGAGGTGGGATTTGCCAGTTCTCTGAACTACTCAAAATTTCTGCTACTGCTTCTCCAGAACTGGTCAGAGCCTGCTGAATACGACCTCTGGTTATCAGAACAGAACTTTTGTGTGAATTGTATTGATATGTAAAGAGAATCTGAAAAAAATAAACATCTACTTTTTTGTGCATAAACAAAATCACCCAACAAGTAGTGTACCAGTGGGAAAACCTAATTGTCTCCCTACTTCATGCAGTTCAGTTAAAAAGAATGACTAGGGTAGCTGTGAGAGTGTTTCATTAAACAGATTGATTTGGACCAAATCTACACTATGTAAATCTCACAAATTTGACTCCCTACTTCATGGTTTCTGAAAGCATGTCATGTCCCACTCAGAAGGCATTTCTGAGGATTTTGGAAAATAAGCCTATCCATTTGAACAAAGTTATAGAAATATTTCTAAAGTTTGGTTCAATTAAACTCCATAAACATTGCCTTAAAATAGAGATTTTGGAGAACATAAAATCACTCCAAGAGAACATTGTTAAGAAAATAAATAAACTAGCAAGGTACAAAATACTTTCCAGATTAGCAAGTCTTTCCCACTTGGGCTAAAGCCACACCACCATCAGAAAATCACTGGGTAAAAATGGGATTCGTGGTTAGAAGTGGGGGGAAATTGTTCACTAAGAAAAACATTGATGCCCATGCCCCAGTGACCATATCCTCTACATACAGCACAAGTGCCCTTCTGGAAACAATGCATTCCTCCTAACCCTATCTGTCGGGCTCTAGAATGAATGCATTGTTTTATGTTATATTAACTCCAGCTTGCATATCAACTCCATGGTGGGCCATCTCCTCAACACAAACTTGTACTCGCCAAAAACAAAAGGTGGCCACTACTTTCCTGCAGCACTCAAATTATTTGAAGCCAAACCAATATAGCACAACTTCTTTTTGCCCAGCTGGGCCCATTTTCTAGTTTTGCACCATTAGAACTTGTTCAGTCCAAATTTCTAAGATTGACCATTCAAGTCCACAAATGGTACTTAATGACACCATAAGACTAGAAACAGGTCTCGAGAAAGTGGAGGCTAGAATGTGAATCGCCATACTCAACTATTGCCTTTTTCCTTCTTGGAATTGAGGGATAGTTTTCAGTCCACATGGAAAAAGACAGTGACATCTAAATCTCATCCTCAGGCTTTTCTCCAAATTAGGCCAAAGCATTTATTAAACACTGTGTAGCAGACACAGAGCATCAACTGGACTATATAGTGAATCCCAATAGGCATGGTTGTTTTTACTGTACTCCATCCTCCTTATGCTGGCGTTTGACCATAATAAAGTTTGATTGATGCTTATGGCAGGTTTGCCCAAAAGCTCATTGATGTTTCTCCAGGTTTGTTTTATGGATTGTTGAGTCACACATGAATATGGTAGTATAATTAATTAAGGATCCTTTGCTGCTTTAGGCTGGTAGGAAATTCCCTGGGCCTCCACCTTTCTTATCTGGCTGGTCTCCACCATTTCCATCAGGACCACCGGTGAGTAACGACAGGCAATAAGAGGCATATCATAGTTGTGAAAAATAAACTTCATTACTGAGTTTCTAGTTGAGAATTGTCATTTCATGACAATGTTCTCTATAATTTTTGTTTCAGTAATTTGGTTAATTTTACATTAAGGATTTGTCTGAATTTAATAAGCAGTAATAAAAATGTATAAATTAAATTTGAAGTGACTAATTCTGAACGGGTATACTGTCGTTTTAGCTAGTTAAAATGTCACTGTTGTATCTGAAATGAGTGCTTTCCTTTTTGTTCATACAAACTAATGTTTCTCTCCCTTAGATACTTTAAGATATGTGAATTTCAACACTCAGATTTATCCAGCCAGCCTTGAGAAACACTATTGCAAACTAAAGTTAGCTGATAAATTTGTCCATTATTTTTCTAGTTGATACCACCTCCTCCACTTCTTAGTTCAGATTCACCTGATGATGATGAAGCTTTAGGAAGTATGTTAATAGCTTGGTATATGAGTGGCTACCACACTGGCTATTACCTGGTGAGACATCTTTTTTTCCATATTAAAAGGCAAACTGCCAGCCGATCAGATGTATTGCTGCTAAAAATAAATAAAAATGTGATATATAGCAATATGGCTTTTTTGAAAGAAATGTCCTATATACAAAGATTGATGTAAAACCTTATTGTAAATATTAAACCATGTAGTTTAAAGAGATAGTTCCTCATTTCTCAGGCTTGCAATAAGTCATCGTCTTTTTATATTCTATTTTCTATTTGTATTTTGGTTTTCTATTTCTGTTTAATTATAATAAGTAATAGGTGCTTATAAGTAGATCTTGCTATCTGCTTCTCTGCGTTTTATCTTTAAAAATATGCAGAAGTAATTTTAGGTTAGTACTAGTACTACTATATAGTACTACTACCTAATAGGGACAAGATTATTTATAATTACTCTTTTCTTCAATCAAAAGACTCCCAGAACTTCATTAAAAAATAATAGTAAGACACTTCCTGCTCATAAGTTCCAGACGACAGGAAAAGGGAATGGAATAAGACCTTCATTGTTGATGGCTCTTAATTAAATTGTCTACATGGATCCGTTCTATGTTGGACTATTCTAAGCTCTATAATGTAATCTTTTCATCTCCTGAGCTGTTCAGTTCCTATTTTTTCATATGCTTCATTCATATTTCAAAGTGCATGGGCCAAAGAAACAAACCTGGCATTTTCTTAAGATTTTTTTTTTAAGACAAATGCATTTTCTATCACAACAAAATTCTCTCAACTTAATTTTTTCCACAAATGTCAAAAACATCAGTGATAAAGACAGATAATCACATCAAAATCTTGTGGTCAGAAAACATGATTTTTTTTCATTCTAATGAGTTTATGGCAAAACATTTCTTGTGAGGAAAAGTGAGAGAATATGTATATAAAAACTCTAAATACCATTGATGATGCTCCAGGAATTTCAGCAATAATATTTTTGGAATCATTTGCATATCATTTATGCTAAAAGGGGAATATAGGAGCTTTATAGCTCATGAAATTGCATATAAAATGTTAATACCTTTGATTGTGGGAGCCCTTCCTACTCCCTTTTTGCAGGATGGTTTTATAAGTGGTGTTTACCTATGAAAAAACTTAGATTAATTTAGCTTGAATTTTTATTTGTGTTACCTATTTCTTGCAGGACTGCAAAATATATTAACCTTTAATTTCAAACTGTATATTACATTGCATAGGGCTTAAAGCAGGGCCGAGTGGAAGCTACCTTGGGAAGAGACACACATTTGAAGTAAGTCTGGTAAGTATTGTATCTTTATTGGCATTAATTGTGCGGTGCAAGATATACCTTTGAATGTATTGAGATGGGTCCCTGACCAAATATCGCTTCAGAATAGCATGTCTTGTGGTAATTGTTAGTAGCATTTAGAACTCATAGAATACTATTACTGAATCCCAAATTGCAGTGGGTATGGATTGATAAGATCATTGGGAGTAATTTTTCCGATTTATATTATTTATATTTTACATGCCCAAGAATAAGTGTTTAAGCATCAGATTTATAGCAGTTATTAGTAATCTGGAATAAGGGTAGAGGTTTGTTCTCCAAGCTTGGGGGGGGGCGGTTTCATTTCCGAACATTTCATTACCAAGCCAGGTAACATCTTCAGCGAAGTTTAGGGAACATCAGTGTTACTGTTCCTCTGTTTATAAGGGCTTTGTGTGAAACAGAGGAACACTACACTTATAAAGCCCTCGACAATTCGAAATCCTTATAAACAGAGGAACACCAACATTGACATCCCCTAAACTCTTCTGAAGATGTTATCTAGCCTGGTAATGAAATGTTTGGAATCAACTCATGAGCTTGGAAAACAAATCCCCATGCTCATCCTATACCAAAGGTATAGACATTTGCCACCATCGCAAATCTAGAATAAATCATAATAGTATTGGCAAAGATTCCCAAATGAATTTGCTTTCCCACATGAGTTCCCTTTCTATCCTTGTTAGCAGAGGAATTTCACAGATAACAGATAATGCTGAGAGATGAAAATTTGTCATTAATCCCATTTGTCTACATTATCTTTACTGCCTTATACTGATACGGTTGCTGTTATCCTGTGTTCATTTTTAGATGCTTATTCTGGACAAATTGAATAATATTCAGATTAATTCTGACATGCTGATTCTTAGAGTCAACAAGACGAAGACTAATCTTCACTGCTAGCTCCACAGCAACATTATCTTGAAGTATTCCATGTTGTAGTTGTGGACAACAGCAATGACCTAAGTGAAAAACGGTATTCGTGCATGGACTGTCCAGGACTAGAACAACTCTCCTATCAGTTAAGGGAATGGTTGCTTACTATCACTCAACTGATTTGAAATACTGGTCAATAAAACTAACTTTTTCCAAATTGATTTTTCATTTTTATTAAACTTATTGATATCTAAAATAGGAAAAAAGCATTTTTAACGTGATGGTCATGTTTCCTTTGTGGAGTCTTCTGTGGATTATACCCAGATGGCTATATATCCTCACAACAGAACACAGACAATGCACACACTGCATGAATTAAGCTCACTAGAAAACTCTGCTTTCCCTTTAGGATTTTAAAAACCTCCCATGGTATCACCACTGATTCAATTTTGAAGCAGTAAGGAAGCCACAATAGCAGCAGAAGAACCTGTTTTGTCTCACACCATGTCTCCTTTTATTGTTTATATGATAATTTATATTTTGAACACACATTAGCAATTACAGAACTATATATGAACCATATGAATCTATTTTACTATTTTAATCTATGCTTACTGGCTAGCGGTATACCTAATAAATCACATGGACATGTATAATATATATTACATTACATTTATTAAAGTTATACTTAGGTTTCCCTGCTTAATAGATAATCAAAGACAGAAAATCAACAGGGTTTTCTAATATGCATTGGGATAACTCTTCTGGTCAGGATCACAAGACTAAACGGGGTAAACCATGCCCAAGTTGTGAACTGAGTTTTAGATATCTTGAACAAGATCATGACCTTATCCCTGAAGTTTATTATATTTTGAAAGAACAGCAGAACAACACATAAGATAAAATTATTGTAAAATTATTACAAGAATGGACATCTTAAGACATCAGCAGAAATGATCTACCAGCTGAATGTAGCAAAGGAGAAAGAAAAAACAGTTATGCAAGCAGCCTAAATACTATATGGAATTAAAGTAGATAGGTCTCAATCAGGAAAAAAAATTGTAACATGGAAAAAATGCTGACAGATGCGACAAAAAAGATTAAAATAGTCATAATTCTTCCCAGATAGGTTTAGGATGGTGGTCTCCAACTCCATGGTGGTTATTATTCAATCGATTTATAATCGAGTCAGAATTTCAAGTCAGAATTTGGACTACTTCAGCTTTCCCATCAATGGGAAAACTGGCCTAAAACCTAAGTTTCAGCAATATACAGAATTGCTGGTGATGTTGAGCTACAGCTGAACTGTGAGTAAATTATTTCAGCCACCTACACTATGTCAGAGGTTTAACAATACTGATGGGGAAGAGCTTTCAGAAAAATGGGAATCTGGTTGTGAAAAAAGAAAGTTATAGGATGATGACACTGGAATAAATTTTACAACAAGTCGACAAATGAGAATATGTATAAGGCATAACTAATGTTAATACGATATAGTCAACTACATTCCACTTCTTTATTCATTAATAATAGGTGTAAATGGCAATATACATTTCCAAGTTAAGCTTAAGTCCTTTGATTGGGGATGTTGTTTTTTCATAATCTCAAACATGTTGAGATCCTTCTCATCGAACAACCAGCCAATCATGTTGATTGCCCTGAGGTTGGGCAATCGAGAAACACATCGGACGAAAGACTTCACGGTTGTTGCTTGGCATTCGATTGTATTTGTAGCAAGGCGACTGAAATCCATACTTTGTAAGTCTGGCATGTTGGACAATGTTTGAAAGAAATTCCTCCAAGTCTCTTCATTAATTGTATGGTTGACTGACAGACATAGATATTCAAGTTTTTGAAAACCTCCAGCAACAGCTACCTTTGCTGAAACAAAAACAATGAGAGAAATGAAATTATTTCAAAATAAATTGGACACATGGTATTCATGTCATGGATACAGCCTGCAAAGAAACAGTGCAGGCAGCATGTTGGCTGGGAAATTTTGGGAATTAAAAGCCACACATCTTAACATTGCTAAAGTTGAGAAATACTAAACTAGCATAAAAAGACACAGCTTCCTCTATAATAAAAAGGAACAAAACTTTTGATATGTTTCATTTGAACATAAAATATTTATTTTTAATATTTTAAAGCATTAGCTCTTCCCTCAACATGACATAATGTTATTCCAGGGTAGCAAACACTTTTACAAAAACGTTTTCACTATCTTCTGAGAAAGTTAGAAGGGCCATTTAGGCAATGTCCAAATTCCTTTCCAGGGCAGGAATTTAAATGATACCATCACAAGACAAATGGCTCTGTTGCCTTCAATAGCATTGCAAGAAGGGAAATGGGTTTTACAAGCATCAGACTGTCATTGTGCAAAGAATGTAATTTATGGAATTAACATCAGTTGCAAGAATTATTAACTACATTAAAGTATTACAAAACGTTCAACATTTTCATAATAACACAATAATGTATGGGATATCACTGTGGCTTTTACTGCACACTTTAGGTCATAAGTATCCATAGCAAAAGATATCATTTGCATTACATTGTCTTTCAACTGAAGCAAATTATGTACTTAGTCACATCATGTAGTTGAAATAAGTTTACAACATATGCATGCCAACATAAACATTACATAATTTATGTCAGTTACATGACAGGCTTTTGTGTGTCAAAAATTGCTCTAAGGGCTTTTAAAATGTATTTGTCAGCTCCGTACTTACTTCAGGGATAAAATAGTTAGACCAGGCCAAATCTATCAACTGGATGATGAACAGAGTATGGGCCTATGCTGAAAAGTTGTATAGAGATTATTTGTTTTAAGAACTTACCTATTTCCAACAGGCCTTCAGCACTTAAATACTGACAAAACACCAACTTGCGAAGATTTGGAAAATAGAAACATTGTTGAACAATCAGTGTAGCTGTATACCTTATTCCTTCTCCGTTTGGTAGAACAAGTTCTTCCAAATTCATAAGAGAACGTAAAGCTAATGCTGCAAAGTAAAAAAAAATGTGGTGATAGGGTGTCTCCCAGGAAACCGTACTGTCTAGATAGACTATAACCTGTTCAAGAAAATGCAATATCATAAATGCTGAATTTTCTAGACCAGCACTTCAGGATGTATTCATCAGGAATGAAAAGTTAAAACATACCCAGTCCTGTGCATGCTTCCTTGTTTTCAAAATATAATCTTGAGAGATTCAGTATCTTTAATGCTGTAAAATTTGGCAAAACAGCAGCTGCAACATATACAAATAAATATCAGTATAAATGAACTACAAATAACTGTCTTCAATTCAAATCAACAGATTATATGATTAAAATATCACCAATACTTTTACAATAATAAAATGCTTTTTATTACTCTTTAATTTTTTTATAATTCATTTATCTGGGTTGTTTTATGGCCAAATTCTGCAAGGGTCTGTCGCTGCAATCTAAGGTCTATCCTTTTGTATATGAATGTAATAACCTATGTACAAGAGAGTGTGGCTTTGATCACAATACCACAGTCACCTCTTGCAGATTTTGACACAGACACTTCTGAATCTTCCAGTTCATAGTACCTCTTGCTATGTGAAAAGGAAATTGGATTATTTGTGATAATGAAGCTGGAATAAAAAATGACCTTGAGTAATAGGAGAAAGAACCATTACCAAAACAGATAAAGAAATATCTCTTGTTTTCTCAGGTTACAGTACTGCCCTGGCTCATATTTCTTTATTCAACCATTGTCTTGGTTATCAGTTTTTCCTCCTTTTCCTCAGGGTCATTCCTCCTGTCCACTGCAATCAACCTTTTATGTTGCTTTCTGATTACAAATACAATTCAGCGCATCCCACACTCTTATTCCATGGCAATGTGTGTATAAGAATAGCAGAAAAACAAACCAGACATATCATTTCCCAAGTATGTTCAGGTCAGCACAGAGGGCTCTAATCTCTGAGATATATTTTAAGTTGAGGACATTGTGGCCTTTGAATTGTCACTTGTTTGATACTAAGCAAAAGTGTTATTTGGTATTAATATTGCAAAAGTTTTCCATTAAATTTTTCGTACTAAGGGTATACAGATCTTCATCTCCAACATTCAAGTCATTGAGGAGAATTTCAGTAAGTTTCTTGCAGGAAGACATTGCATTCATAAGAGCTCCCATATTTAAAAAGGGTGAGTTTTGCAAATGGAAGAGAGAGAGATTTGGAGAGTTCTGTATGAGTTCACCTGTAAAAGAAAAAGAAAAGCACATTGTAATGCGAAGAATTTTAAGCTACTTTTGACTTTAGTAGTGACAGGTGTACAGTAGATTTACTTCGTGTTAGTTCAGAATCTATTTTACATAAGCATATATTTCACTTCTATTCCTTTTTACCCTAGGTGTGCACAAATCTTCCAGTTTCATTTTCAGGGAGTTCCTCATGATACGAATTGCAAGTTTCTTCCAGTCTGATTTCCACATCGGTCTATGATGTAGATATCGGTGGTGGGATTCAAAAAGTTTTACCACCAATTTGGTGGGTGTGGCTTGGTGGGCGCGCTTTGCACACATGCACACACTCTGCGTGTGTGTGTGCACCAAACACACACTTTGCGCAGGCACAGAGATGTTCCAACTCACCTCCCACAAGCCTGCACTCTCCCAGTCACTTCAACAGCTGCCGCATGGCACTCTTTTGTGCCGTGCAAAGCAGCTGCGCTTCAAAAACAGGATAAAGGTGAATATGGGAGCCTGGGCAGGTGGGTGGGCCCAACAGCTGAGCGGCAGAGAGAACTGTTTTGGTGTCCACTGCTCATTGCCGCTACCGGCTCGACAGAACTGGGCCAAATCAGTAGAATACCACCACGGGTAGATGTGAAGGAAAAGTATACACCAACATTTTCTGTGCATTGTAGCATATGTACTTTTTGTATATATATTTTTTCTTAGCACCCTAGGATTTTGTGGCAATACAATCTCTTAATGATTATACCATTAACAGTATATGTATTGCATTTAAAAATAAAATTTAAGGATGAAACACAGTGAATTTATTAAAATCTTCACATGCCTTTTAAGTATTTAACCCAACTTTTCTCTAATTAGTGCTTCCCATTTGAGGGGGCTTCAAAATAGACAAAAAAGGCAGTTGCAACATCACGTTTCAGTACCCAACCATTTGTATGTCCATGTCCCACCAATGCATGCATAAAAGTGATTGGGGTTGTCAGCATTTTGCCTAGATTGGTTAGTGGGTCTATATATTTGTTTATTTATTAAATGTGTAGACTGCCTAACAACATCATAGCTCTGGGTGGGGACTTCCGGTTTGAGTTCCTTCGCCGACAGACCGAAACCATGATTGAGGTTTTGATCCATGCTCGCCACTGGAGCACCCCGAACTGGCTGGTTTCGGGGCTAAGCCACCCATAGAGGTGGTGAAGAGGGAGGAGACTGCCAGCAGGGTTGAGGAGAGCCGCATCTCTCCTCCTCAGCTGGCCATTGCTCCCTTTCCCGAAGGCGGTTGCAGCAGTGGTCAGAAATGGCCACCTCAATGAAGAACTCGACCAGAAAAGAATGTGCAGGAGGAAGATAAGAAGTGAAAGTTTTGGTTGACCAGGTTAAACTGCAAAAGCAACAACGTAAGGTACCCTGGAATTTAAACTATATAAAAAAATAACATTGTTCCCAAAGAAGATTTTGAAGCAGCGAAGGAGAGAGGGGAGGGAAAGGATTTGGTTTTTTTTTTCTTCCCTTCCCTATACTGACAGCTAAGAGACTTAAGCAAGAAATTGAAAAAAAATCCACTTTAACATCAATAGACATTTAAGCTGAAAATAAAATGTCAAAGGGATAATAAAGTTTTCTGGATACTTAAAAGCTTTTAAAAGCAGGAAAGGAGAGAAAAAGAATAAAAGGGCAGGATCTGGAAAAATGGAGGAGACTGCCTGGAACTAAAAGGAATTTACAGTGAAACCTCAATAAGATTCCTAAAAGATACATTTTAACTGAAACTTGGCAACAAAATAATAGAACCCCAGGAAGAGAAAGTGGAAAAAAGAAGCAAGAAGAAACAGCTTTGGATTATTTGGATTACTTGGTGATCTTTGGATTTTTGGTTATTGCATTTAAATGACTAAAATCAATCGGGTGGTTGTTTAAAAGTGTTTAAAATGGCACCACTTTTAGAAGAACTGAAAATGGAACTGAAAAATTACAAAAAAAATGCACAAGAAGAGAGAGGTTCTTTTGGCTTCGTATTTCAACTCTTAGAAATGGAGATCTGGAACCATGAGAAACAACAAGAAACGCTTGCAGAACAAGAAGATTGGGACAAAGAAGAAGCCATCTTTATTGATCAAGTAATTTTATGTGGGGGGGGGAAGGAAAGGGGGAAAGAGAATGAAAAGTTTTAAGATTTGAAAAAACAACCCAAAAAAGAAGAATAGTTTGAAAAATAAATATAATATTAGAAAGCAACAGAAGAGGGGATTACAGAAGAGAGAATTAGAAGTAGAGAGACAAGGGGGTAAAAGGGGAGGGAGAAGAAGAGGGGGAAGAAGGAAAGGAAAAGAAGTTATAAAGGACAGAAACAAGATATAGAGAAACAAGGGAAAAGGTATAAGAATTAAAAGTATAAGCCCGTTTAGAGATAATGGGTGAAAATTAATTGTAAAAGCGATTCTGCAAAAGTACATAAGATAGTATTGTTATATTACAAATAGAAATAATTTTAGAAAATATGATTAAAATGATAGATAAAATATTTATCGTAATCTAGTGGAATGTTTGTTAATAAATAAATGAAATAAAGTGAATGAGAGAATTAAATTAGGAAAGGATGGGAACATTTTAATTATTATTAATGATTTATAAAATATAAGTGAAGAGAAATACGGGGGGGGGGGAATTAATTATGGAAAGTTTATAAGTGTTCCCAAGGAAGTATGATATTTAATTGAAAATAAATGTTAAAGATATTAAGATTTTAATGAATATTAATGATAGAATTGAATTGGAATGGAACGAGAGATTTATTTATATATATATATATATATATATATATATAAAATCTTTTTTTTAAGAATATAGTGTATATTTTAAGAATGTACTAAGCAGAATTCGATTGGAAGTTATATATTATATTGAATGTTATAATCTTAAAGGTATACATTGAAGCTTAAATAAGAATTGAATGGATAAAATTAAAAGATACAAAGGTGTCATACTCCAATTAGTAACTACAGGGGAAAATTTGTTTAATGAGAAACGATAATATGAAATTGAAACAGGACAGACAAAAGTATAAATATAATGATTTGAATTGAGATGAGATAATCTAAGTAAAGTTGAGAAAATTAAAAGAGGGGAAAAACTGTAGAAAATATAAAACAGTGATAAGATATGGAATAGAACACAAAAATGAGCATGAAATTGAGTTTGTGTCTGTATGAAGAAATGATAACCTGGGACCATGCTATTTTCAAAAAAAGATGTTTTATTTGTATTATGGTTTTTTTGTGAAAACCCAAATAAAATTTTCAAACCCCCCCCCCAAACATCATAGCTCTGGGTGATGTACAGTATTAAACAGTTTGGAACAATACAACACACAACTGGATGCTACTGCTCTTAGTTACACACTTACAATACCATCACATGATTGTGCCTGCTTGAAGCCCCAGTGAATCCTTCTTCCCAAAATTATCTGTTCTACTTAAGAGTCCTCTGAGCTGGACTTACTACATTCTGAAACAGGAGCAAGAATTCTCAGTTCTAATATAACTTACAAGGGACACATTTTAAAAGAATAGTGTTATTTTAGGGGGAAAGGATAAAAGCATTAAATCTCCCAGTTTTTCATCCATATGCAACCAGTTGTCCATTAAAAGTACTCTTGAATTTTATACACAAAAGACTTACCTAGCCAGGCAGAATTTGTTTTAAACTGAAGGTTGTAAAGGATCAATTTCTCAATGTTATGAAGATTTTTGAATCCCTCTAGGGAATATGTATCAGACATATTCTGGCAGTCAGATAGATTCAACGAGAGTTCCTTTAAAAACGTGTATTTGTCCAAATTTGCAAAAAGCGTTTCTGAAACGTATAAGGTAAACAGATAAGCAATGCATTTATTTGTATATCGATATGTAAATTACATTACTCAGGTTTATCATTAAATCCTGTGCATGCTTATTGTGAACACAGTATTTAGCATGTTCTATGTTAAGTTGGTTTGACATGCTTTCCAGACTTAATGAGACTTATTATTAAGGAAGTCCTCAAATAAATCAAGCAAAATCAAATACAGTCTTGTTCCTTGGTAACCACTTATGTTGCTCCTAATCCTCCAGTATTTCCTGATTTATTTATAAAAAAATATTTTTGTAATATTTCCACCTAGAATCTTGCAAGATCCAGCAATATTGAATATTGCATTATAAATTAAAAGCAAAATAGATAGAAGTACCTGGTACTGAAGCACTGCACTTAATGTCAAGGGATTCAAGTGAAGACATTGAAAGAAGTAGGTTTTCTTCCAGCTCATTCAGTTCAGTATTACCTAAGCTGAAGACTTTAAAAGACTTCAAGTTCTCTTCAATAGCCATCTTGATATTCTCAAGGAGGCCTTTGCAATTTTGCAAATTGAGTTCAATATTATCAAAAAATGAGAAGAGCAATTTTAAATTCTCAATATCAGGAGCTTCAAGGGAAGTCATGTGATTGACAACAAATTTCAGATATGGAATCTTCTCACGGCTTTTCACACAGAGAAATGGAGTTATTATGGAATCCGGAATCTCTCTGCATCTATAGCTCCTAAAATTATTAATAGAATCTAAGTCTTCTTTTAGTTGCTGGGTAACATTACTGAACAGTTGAAAAGCTTGGGTGTATATTGGTTCGACCGATGGAACCTTCAAGTTGAGAAAAGCACTTTCCACGGCAGCCATATCAATAGGTTTCTCCATGCCTGTAAGCACTTCCTCAAATCTACTTGGTAAGAACAAACTTTCTGGATAATCCAGACATAATTGATGGATGGATTCACTTTTCAACAAATATAAAGGAAACTCTTTTCCAGTCAGAATCTCTAAAATCATAGGTGCACAATCGGAAATCATATTGCTTTGATAGGCTAACTCAGTAGCAATTGTCAGTACAGTTTCGATGAATTTTGAGTGATGATACTCTGGAATAAAACTAGAGGCAATGCTGATAAGGTCGTATCCTTTTAAATTAAGGTCTGGAGTTTGTTGCAGATAAATATCTGACTGGCTTTCAAGTGACTTCTTGCAACTGGGTAAATTCAGTAGGTGGGATATTATTATGGGTACTGCTTTGGATGGTTCACTACAAGCATATCTCAAAATATATTGGTAGCGCCCATTAATTTTCACAAACGTGTTGATTTGCTGCAAGTATTCCAGGCCTTTCTTTTTATCTGACTGCACGTCTGAAGCCAAGAGCTCACTCATTTTTTGTCCTGCAAGAAATTCTTGGAAGGAAAGGTGGAAGAACTTATAGAGTGGCTGGAGCCTTTGGGCAGTAAATTTGCTCAGCAATCCAAAGTAAAGAGCTTCCTCCACATTGATCCCAATTTCAGACAGGTCTTTCTCACTGAAGTTAAAGAGGGATTTGAAGACACCTTGTAAAGCCAATTCACCACAAGCAGACATCATGGCTTTCATGCGATCCACTTCTTGAGGATATTTCAACAAGCTGTACAGTCTGTAGGCTTTTAAAATGACAGTACCAGTGAATATGTTGCCATTGGGATTCTGAGCCCAGTATGAGGCAAGAGCTGCAACAAAAAGGGGAGTCTTCAGCATGGAACGCATGGTCTCTTCGTAAGACAATTGAATAAAAAAGTCTCCTAAAAGCCGAACATTGTATGAAAATAGTTTTCTTAACAGATAGAGCGTGCTACTTAATGGGAATTCCAAAATACTGAGAAGAGTGTTTGCATGTTGGCGAATTCCTCTAACTTGGTGAGGACGCACTGCAATAACCAAGCAGTGTTTGTTCAAATAGTTCTTTTGAATCAAATCTTCAATTGCACAGGGAAGCCCATTCATCGTGTCAAACTCATCCAAAAGGAACAGGACCTCGTTAGTTAAACTTTGGCATATGTTCTTCAGAAAATCTTCAGTCAAGGTCCCTTTAAGCCCTATTACCTGATTGCAAATAAGGTCGGCCAGACTTTGATCAGGTTTTCCAGAATTCAGGGACAAATAAAAAACTAACTTGAATCTGCTGAGTATGGGACAACATCCAGAGGCCCAAAGAATTGCTATTTTCCGAAGCAATGCAGTCTTTCCACTGCCTGCCTCTCCTTCTATTACTGTAATGGAATAAAAGCTCTCCAGGATCTCAGGCAATGTCAGCTGCTGCTGTGGTTGGTTACTGATGTCCTTGGAGACAATGGCCAGATCCCCGTAAAGCAATTTCAAGTCAACGGCAAAATGAGTGTGATCCCCAAAAGAAAATGTTTTCCTGAAACTGAAATCATTATAAGCTTCTGAGAGCTTTCTTTGCAGCCATTCATGTTCATCCAGAACAATGTCTGTAAAAGCAGAAATGAGACATTTGCCTTGATAAAATTGATTTGACATGTTTTAACTATAACTGTTTTTTCTAATTGTACATTTCCATTTGGTGGCTGTTCTCCTGTTGGACATCCTATACTTCTAGCAAAGTTGTGTCTTACTGTCTTGCACACTTCCTAGTCACTCTGTTTTCAATACATAAATAGTAATTTTAAAACAATTAAATATTGCTTAATGTGAAGCACAAATGTGTGAAGTAGTTGTAAGAAAGATTCCTGGTCTCCATGAATATATTGGCATTATATATTTTGCAGACTGGGTAAGCAAAATGAAAATGCAAAACAGAAATTAATCCCTTTGATAAGATGCAAACTTGAAGGAAAGAAGGTCCAGCAAGGGATTGTCTGGCAAGAAAATATTGGTTTGGGAAATACCAAATAACCATTACACCCTCAATAACGATTCTCAAATGCCAACTGTAAGATATTATATTATTGTGGGTTTATTCATTTATTTATTTGTTAACTGTATTTGCCCACTATCTCACTGTAGGGCTACTCTAGGCTGGTTACAATAATAAAGAGGAAGAAAAATGAAAAAGTGTATAAACAAAGGTAAAATAATAGAATAATAAGGAATTAGTATACTGTCAGCTATCCAGAGCTTGAATAAGATAAGCAATTTTATAAATGTAATAAATAAATAAAATAATTCTGTAAACTTAAAATGTTTAAATAAATAATGATAGTTCCTATGTAGATGAGAGGGAGAGGGAGAGGGAGAGGGAGATATATATATTAAGCACCAGGCTAGAAATCAGGAGAGTATAAGTCTCTCAGCCCTAGAAAAGAGGCAGGAACCAGCCAATTCCCCAAAAAAAATGCTTGCCAAGAAAACTGCAGGGTCTTATATAACAGTCACCAGGAGCCAAAATCAGCTGAAAGCCACCAAATTATATTATGATCATAATACATTTATACTTTACTTTCGACCAGTGACTTGACACTTACCAGGCTTGGTTTACAGTATACTATAAATTAACATCTACATAAGGCATCTCTTTTGATATCCAGTTGTGTAATGTAGTTGACTGTATGCCCTTCATTTGGCCTGAAACCTTAGGTATGCTAATTTAAATGTAAACCTTAAAAAAAAAATCCTGTTGAATCAGTGAACTCCATACAAATGCTACACAGGTGTTTTTAGTGCAGGGTTATATAGATCCTGAATAAACTGAACGTTTCACATATTTATCTTAAAATTTAAGGCAAAATATCTGTGATCCATGCCATTGTATGTGGTAAAATACTTACTGGTTGTGGCTGAGCTGACAGCTTCTATCTCATTTAAAGTCTCATTGTAATATGTTTGCTAAAAAAAAAAAGCATGTTAAGGTTCCTGTATAGCACTGAAGGACACTTTGTTTTACTTTATTAAATTTCTGTTTGTTCACTCTCATTAGTCTAGTCTTGCTATTAGATACTAGTGTAGAATTTGAAGAGACTCCTTGGCATTCCAAAGGGAGGATGTCTTCAGAATAGTTGCTGGCACCAACTACAATCTATCCCATTAATTTCGTGTAAGCCATTATTTCATGGAGGACAAGACAGAATCTTGTGGAACATCGTAGCGTGAAAACCTTTACTGCACTGGTATGGCTCTTCCACATATACAGACTAGGCAGTCACCATAGGGATTGCACACTGATTACTGCACAAGATTCACCTGGAACACAGTTGCTGACAACAAATCTAGAACAAATCTAGAACCACCACCACTACCTCAGCATCAACTTCTAAGAAGTAACATGGCCATTGAGACACTGAACCTTCTTCTATTTCACCCATTTATAATTAATGGTACTAAAAATTATATAAAGATCTAGCCCAACCAATAGATGCCGTGTAATATGCAAAGGAGGTATTGCACTATATAAGATGAAAGCTAAATTACTAGCTGAATAAGAAATGTAGCATCCTTCTTTTAGTTTCTGATAATCTAGTATCCTTGTTAAAAGCAATCACCCCCTCTTCAGTGAACTCACTCTTGTATGGATCTATACTGGCAACCTGAATTTCTAACCAAAATCTAAAATTTGTACACACCGCGGACAATTTATTAGAATATTACAAAAAAGCAATAACAATTCTTGTTTTATCTCTCTGATACTTCTATTTATACAAATGGAAATTACTTTCTATTATGAAAAAGTTAACCTAATCAAATCCTAGCTACCCTCTGTTTTACCTTTTCATGCTGTGACTCGGCCTCTGGTTGCATTTTGCTATTTTCCGATGATATCCATCTTTCTGGATCTGATAGCTTACAACTGCAATGCATTTTTAAAGAATAGCTGTGTTAACTGAGATCAACAAAATGAACCATATCAGATATCACTAATATTTGTATACCCTTAGATAATGCACTACTGAATGATTGAATCTTGCTATTTTATATGACACCAACCAGCCTGTTTGCCTTTTAAAAAATAAATAAATAAAACTATACCTCTATACCTATATCACGGCCTAGGATCCATAAATGGACTATGTGGTTTGCTCCAATCTAGAACCACTTGTGATGACTGAACTATAACTGTCACCAATCCTAGCTATCTGCATGTTGTGCTAATTAAGATGATAGAAATAATAGCAATAGCAATACCCTTAGACTTATATACCGCTTCACAGTGCTTTACAGGCCTCTCTAAGTGGTTTACAGAGTCAGCATATTGCCCCAACAAGCTGGATCCTCATTTTAACCTCAGAAGGATGGAAGGCTGAGTCAATCTTGAGCCAGTGAAATTTGAACTGCCGACTGCTGGCAGTCAGCAGAAGAAGCCTGCAGTACTGGATTCTAAGCACTGTGCCACCAAGGCTCATAATAATAATCTGATACATGTGAAGAGCACCTACACTTCTTTTCCGCAAACTCCAAGTTGGAAGTTTACAAGAGTTCTGTATATCTCCAGACCATTAGGGACTAGATGTAGGAGAAAATAAAATGAAGTTGAATGCAAATTATATAGCACTGTTGCTAATTTCACGATTAAGAAGATACATCTGTTGGGCGGGGTGTGGCATTCTTCTTTAGAGTTATATTTATAGCTTAGGAGTCCTGCTGAATCCAGCCAGATGTCCACATCTGATGGCTGGCTGTTTGATAAAAAGAGAGACTTCTATACTATTTGGAGGAAAGAGTGATTGATGCACCAAAACTTTAAGACAGGATCACTACAATCTGTTCATGAAGCAATTCTTGAATACAATTAGAAAATTAAAGATGGCCCAAAAGTGGCAACATGGGTGTTGAGTGGAGCTTCTCACCATCATCTTGCCATATTCTGGAGGGTTTGAATATGTGAAGTTCTACGTTGTTCCCTTGCTGAGACAGATTCACTGGTTGCCAGTTCTTAACGTTAAAGTTAAGGAATTCACAATGGTGCTTAAGGCTATCCAGAGGACAATTTATTCATGTTTTTAGTACTTCTAACACTTTCAGTGGAAGACTGGAAGACATCCTGCTTATGTTGTCATGTATTGTTTGACTTCTCTATGGAATTCATTTTTGTAACATGATGGACCCACAGTGTGGAAAAAAATTCACTGGAGTTAGAACAAACTCCCTAGGAGGACCTCCTCAGTACAATTTAAAGAGTAATTAAATCAACCAACTAAAAAAAAAACATACATATTTATCCAAATATTTATTTGTATTATTATTTAATTCATTTCTACAAGATTGACAAGTATTTGTAACTTTTAAACAAAACTATTTTATAAATTATATTGTAATGAGACCATCTTCACTTACTGAGGGAAAAATTTCATATGTTCTTCCCAAGGATCATCAGTTTCTTTCCAGTTGTTCACACACCCACTACAGTAAAAGCACTGTACAGTATCATTTTTCCCTACAAAAAAAGGCAATAGCAGTTCAACATTGTGGGGGAGGGGTGAATACACACAGTATATGCACACACACACACAAACACACACACACACACACACACACACACACACACAAGAATGCTGTCATCAATGTTTGATCAATCTATTAATTTTGATCAGAATCTGTAATACTCCCTTTTGTTTCAGTTGACTTGTTAACACTACATCAAGATCATAAAAGTAATAGATATAATGCTAAATTAAAATCAGAAAAACAAAGCCTCCACTCTCTTACTTATAAGTAGAAGGAAGGGAATATCTATCAGAATGCATAGAATTGATCCTTTTGGGGTTAGATGAGGATAATTATTCATACTGTAAGATAGGATGATACATGAGATGATTAGAGATTGGCTGCTACCTGGAAGGACTAACTTGTCAGAAAATATGAACAGATGATGACACTTAATTTGCTAGGAAATGGGGATTGGAATGCCATTGTTTGGCCCAGGTAGGATCAGTGCAACTTTTGTCCTGATTGACTTAGGTATACGTAAATGGAAAACCCTCTTCTCATTTTTAAATGTGTAGCTTTTCTTGTAAATAAATTAAATGACTTGAGGACCTAATACACTTTATGATTTTGGGATTGAGAGCTATAAGACGTTTGTCTAGGAATAATAATAAAAATAAATAAAAATAATCAACTCAATGAGACAAAATGTTAATTGGGGTAGTTTTGCAGAACAGAATGAACATACTACGGTCACAGAGACTTAGGACATCAATGTTAACTTATATTTTAGAAAAACAATAAACATTAAAAAAAACCACACCATTAACAATTAACAGCTTCCCAATGTTCCTTCATCAATCTTATGCAGTAAAGGACTGAGAAAGATGGGTGCCCAGCAATGATGTTATGTGGATTCCAGGAATGGAGCAGAGAATAGAATAGAATAGAATAGAATAGAATAGAATAGAATAGAATAG